CGGCCGGCCCCACCCTGCCCCGCCCCCCGCAGCTCAGCATCTCTGGCGCTCACCCTGGCAGCAGAGGATCCCGTCCTCCTTGAGGGCCGTCTTCATGAGCTGGTAATAGGACTCCTTGAAGAGGCTCTCGGCTGGGCCTGCAGGAGGGAGGGTCAAGCGACAATGAGCACATTCTGGCTGAGACCCCCTGAGCCTGGGCTACACAGACCCACAGAGAGGCCAAGGAGCAGAGCCGGGACTTGAACCCAGGTCTGTGGGACTCAGAAACCAACCAGGAAAGGGCACTTTAACCCCATTCCCGGGGGATTCTCACTGGCACTGCATGGTGGCATCTCCACCCTGGGCCTCCGTTTAAAAGGAGAACACCCCCTCTCCCACCCCAGTGCTGGCGTGTCCGGAGCAGAGAGGAGGCTGAAGAAACTGGGGCCTCAGTGGGCCAAGGCCAGTGCCCCACTCCCCTCCTGGTCCCCAACCAACTGTGAACTTTGGGTAGTGGCCTGGTCCCCCTACTCTGCTGAACTGTTGTTTGGAGGGGTGGGGCAGTGACAACTGAGAAGGGAAAGGACTGCGCTAGTTCTGGGGGCCCCTCTGTCCTCTACTCCGCAACTCAGGCCTGGGGAGCAAGGGGGAGGCTGGCTCCTGAAGTGGCAGCTGCTGGGGCCCGGGCCCATCGCTTGCTCACCCATGGGGTCTGAGGAGTCGGTGATGATAACGTCGAAGGCGTCCTGGTTCTGTTTCATGAACTCAAAGCCGTCGCCCACGTGGAGGGTGAGCTTTGAGCTGGAGTAGCCAATGGCCATGCTCGGCAGGAACTTCTTAGAGACCTGAATGACATCCTGGGAGGGGGCGGGGGACCAGGCTGGAGCTGGATGGAGTCCCTTCATGGCCCTGCAGCCTCCGGCCAGCCACTGGCTTCGTGGACCCCCCCACCCCCGTTTCCACATTTGTAAAACGGGGAGCACTCTGGGGGCTCCCTCAGCTCCTCAGGGCGGTGGGCTCTGGCCAGCTCCTCAGCTGAATCTCCACCCTTCCCGCTCCCTCCCCGGATCCACGTGGCCCATCTGAGGGCTTTCCTGCTATTGCAGAGGGAGCAATGCCAGCTCCCATCAGAGAGCCGGTCCCTGTCTCCACGCGTCGATGCTTCTCAGAGGCCTGCCCTGACCGCTGACCGGCCTCAGGCCGATATCATATCGCCCTTCGCTGTCTCCTTTTAACTGGAATATCAGCTCCAACAGGGACGGATCTGCCTATTCGCCATGGTACCCCAGCACCTAGAACAATGGCTGCTACACACCAGAGAGTCACTAAAGACATGCTGGGCGCCCTAATGGTTGGAACGTCCTTGGGCCTTGCCTGGGACTGCAATTAAACACCAGCACCCCAGCTTACTGAGAACTGGCATCGATGGCACCCGACTATGTCACTCAGTCACTTAAAGAGAGACTAAGTGACCTGCCCACACAGCCCACTCCGTGTGGAGCAGGGACTCGCACCCAGACCCTGGCCCTGCTCGGGGCACTCACCTCGTCAATCTCGCACTGGACCACGGACTCCACGGAGGAATGCTTCACCACCTCCCGCAGGACACCCCCGTCCCCACCCCCGATGATCAGCACCTGGGAGGGGGAGGAGCAGTCAGCACCCGCTGGGACCAGCCCCAGCCCCACCAAACAGGCCCCGGCAGGCTCCGTGGGCGGGTGCACTCACCCAGAATCACCCGGAGCGAGGGTGAGCCGCACCCTCCGACCCACAGACCTCCTGACTCCCTCCTCGCAGGAACCTGCCCCAGGTGTGCCCCTTTCCTGAAAACTTCCTGAGCTTCAGGCCTCAGACAGAACTCCTGGCTCCTCTGTCAGCCCCCAGCCCTGCGAAGTGGGCCCCTCTCCCACTCACACCCCCCACTCCCTCCCCCTGGCCCCGTCCTTGCTAGCACTTTCCCTGACACCCCTTAGGAAGCACTGGGCTGAACGAGGCACATGGCGGGGAGGTGGGCTCCACACGGGCCTGTGGGATGCTGAGGGGCGGCTTTCCATCGCTGCGCGCAGGGCTGAATCTGGGGGTACCTTGCGTGGGTTGGGGTGGCTGCAGAGCGGCAGGTTGGCTATCATCTCCTGGTAGGAGAACTCGTCCCGCTCCGTGCACTGGATGACCCCGTCCAACACCAGCACGTTGCCGTAGCTCTTACTGCCGGTGGGAGTGACAGTCAGGGACCTGGTCCCCCGGGGCGGGGGCAACGCGCCTCCACTCCCCCCGCGTGAGAAGCAACCTCCCCGCCCTGCGCAGGGGTCCCGGGGTGGTGCGCTGGGGGTGAC